GAGAGGTGGGGGGGGGCATCTTGTGAGTGATAGCAGGTGGGGGATCGGCAAACTCCACTGGAGGTTTGCAGTTCCAAGCTAGTGGGGGCATAGGAGACCAGCGGGACCCAGGCGGAGTGGGGCAGCAGCACAGAAACCCCACCCAGATGTCCCGAGTCCCAGATGTCCAAACATCACTTGGAAAACAATCCCAACCTCACCCCAAGCCCGAGGCCTGCTTGAAGGCAATGGCATGCCCGTGGAAGTTTCCAGCTGGAGTGGCGCCCCCCTACTGGGAAAGTCAAGGGAAGTGTTGTGAATGAATGGCTTATACAGGTGACACTCAGGCTCCTCCCACAAGCACAGCTTCTCCCAAGGGTCCCGGGTCCTCTTGGCTGTGGGGCTGGCACTCTTCACAGCCTGGCAGCCACGGGGCCTGGGCTCGGCCGCCTTGACAAGTCAGTCAGGTAGGGGGAAGGCTGGTGGAGGTGAGGAGGCCCTGGGGGTGAGGGGTGGGCAGGATGAGGCTGAGCCCGGAAGAGGAAGGCTCAAAGTGCTGACAGTGCTGGTCCCTTGGTTTCCCCTCCAGTTGCTGGGACGGAGTCCAGGGGCTCTGACATTGACAAGGGAGCGCTGAGGAGGCTGGGAGAGGTGGTCATGGGGCTGGCCCTGCCCTGCCTGCGGGGCGGTTTGGCACATTGCACTCGAGCTAAAGATGCCTGGCGAGGGCACATGAAAGGCACCGGGTCTGCCCACCGCCTCTGTCCCAGTAGTGGCCGGCTGGGCATCCCCTCCACCGCTGGGTGGGCCTGTGCAGCCGCTGCACGTCCTGCCCAGGGTGGGAATGGCTGGGTTTCTTGGGTGACATGTATAGTCACTAATAAAAAAATATCTCCTGCTGAAATATGGAGGGAGGGAAGGGAAAAAAAAAAACCCACCTTTAAAAACTAGCCCTTTACTCAGGTATGCGGATGGAAAACGCTCCCCTAATCTCGTTTCCACAATGTCTCCACAGCCCTGAGGAGCCGCTGGTGAGGTGTGGTGAGGTGAAGTGAGCCGGGGTCTGGCAAGTGCCAAGGGACCCTAGGAAGGGGCTTCTGGTGGTGCGCCAGCCCCTGCAGCGGGTGGGGCCGCCTGTTCCAGCCACATGGGATAGCCTCTCTGGGAGGAACTGGCTGTGCCACCTTGAGACAGGGCAGACCACGCTGACAGCAAACCAGCGGGACCACGAGCTGCAGCCTCACGCCTGTGGCCTGGTGGGGCCAGGAGGGCGGGGTTACGTCAGAGTGTTCTGCTCCTGGTACTTGCGCCGGCGGGCACAGCGGGGGCAGCCCTTCTTCAGCGTGGCCTGGCAGCTCTGGTGGAAGACAGTCTTGCACTCAGCACACCTGGGGGAGACAGCAGCAGGTGCTCTGGTGACTCAGGGAGTAGAGGCCTCCTTGGGGCCTGGGGCTGGCCAGTGCTGCCCACTAGGACTACGAGGAAGGCTGTGCATCACGCTGAGAGCCAGGGCACAGAGGCAGCAGTACCCCACCACCCCAGGACCAGTCTTGGAAGTCTTACCTGTCAATTATGTAGAACATTCTGACCGTCTCTCTTCTAGTTCTTTTATTTTTTTTCAAATGCTGCTGGAGCCTCCCTAAGCTGATGCTTGCTCGGGTTTTAAACACTCACAGCATGGCTTCTACAATTCAGGGCTAGGCCTGTTCTGGGCTGATCCTGGCCCAGGGGCAGGAAGGACCTCCTAGTCAGAGGCGTCCACGTTAGGCCGGTAAAGGCATCCCGTTAAAGGAGCAATATGGGGTAAGATGACCATCACAGCAGCAGAGGCAGCAGGACCACTGGATGCCAAGCCTGTACCAGCTTCCAGGGTGCTAACTCCTCTAATCCTTCTCAGAGACCACCCCCCACCCCTTCCTCAAGGCCCTGGGCCACCGCTCTGTAGACCCACACTCCTGTGAGGGCTGAGCTCGCCCAGAGCTGGCAGAGATAGTGTGACTGCTCCCCACCCTTGGGTACCCACAGAGCCCACATTCCATATGGCCCGTCACTGTCACCCTGGAGCCCTCAGGTCAGTCTGTGGATGCGCTGGGGTGGGGTGGCCCACATACCTGGCTGTGGTGTCAAACTCAAAGGGGAAGATGATGTCATGGTGGTGGCAGATCTGGCAAATGAAGCCCCGCTGGGTGCACAGGTCACAGTGGTAGACGTGCTGGGAGGCGAACTCAATCAGGGACTTGAGGAACGCTTCGTACCCGCCCTCGGCGAGCTGTGAGGACAAGCAGGCCACGCCTTCCGCACCACATGAGGGCCACCAGGGAAGAGAGCCTCCCCACCCGGGCTGAGCCACTGTCCGTCTTCAAGCACTATGCACCCTGTGTCCTGCACCCTACACCTCCAGGCTGGGGCTGAGGGGTCCCGTGACCCTGGGGTTTGCTGGAGGGCCTGCTTACTCCGGGGGGCTGGGGAGGTCTGATGCTCATACTGCCCCTCCCACCTCCCCTCGGATGTTCCCTCTGGAGGGAACCCATCCTACCTGCTGGAGGTCGGCGACGCTGTACTTGTGGGGGAACTCCAAGAGATAATTCCTGTGGTTGAGCCTTCAAAGGAAACAGAAGTCATTTCTTAGGGAAGTCCCCAAGCCTGCTCTGTCAGCCTCCCCCAGGGTTGCTGGGGACCCTGGTCCTCCCAGTAACTGGCGGTTGTGACTGAGGTCATGCTAACATTTAACCTTTCTGAGTTCTCCTCTGTCCTAGAGAGTCCACTCGGCTCTCTGGCAGTGAGTTTTAAGCTGGTGCCTTGGGTTTCCTCATGTGAGAAGTGGGAGTTAGTTTGAGGATTTGATACCTTAGTGAGGTACTGAGCACACAGTGCACACAATTCATGACGATGTCGACGGCGACCAGGGGATGAAAGCGACCACCTGGTGTAGGTTCTGAGCGAAGAGCTTCCTAGGCAGTAACTCATTCTAGCTTCACCTAGTCTTAAGGGAGAGGACCCAGGCGGGATACGGCATGGTTAGGAGGGGGCAGCGTGGGAGTCGGAGTGTGGGAGTCTGGGTTAAGAGCCTACGCCATTACCTGTCTTGCTGTATGCCTCCAGATGCTGGCTGTGGTAACTGCTGTCCCCACTACATGCCAGGCCCAGGGCAGGGAACAGAAATGCACAGGACACAGCCCCTGCCCTCCTCAGCCCTAGCAATAGGCCGACACCAAGCACCTGGTTTCGATGCTATGCGAGAGGAGTCGGGCCTCGCCCAGGCCCCACAGATCCCATTTCAGATGGGGGCGGTGTGTGGAGGACATGGCGCGGCCAGCCCTCTTGTCATTTCCACCCCACCACTGGGAGCATCCTGATGGAGAGGAAGCACCTGCAGAAGCCCCAGCCTGGCCTGGCTGGACGTGTGTGTTCATGTGGGTGCTGGAGGTGGGGAGAGAAAGTGCCCGGTCAGGGGATGCTAGGGAAAAGCTTCAGGAAACAGAGGGTCACCTTGGGACTCTGGGGGCACTGGCCCCACCCCATGGCCTTGCCTGTGGTCCAGGGGAGCACAATCTGGGACAGCACGCAGCCAAGCTGGCCACTCAGCTCCCCATGCTCACTTACCCAGTGACTGAATGTCCAGCTTTCTGGAACAGGAAGCTGCCATTATCACCAGGAAAAGGGGGGGCATGGGAGAGGTGTGTGTGTGTGTGTGTGTGTGTGTGTGTGTGTGTGTGTGTGTGTGTGTGTGCGCCAGCCCGAGCAGGAAGGGAGGGGCTGAGTGGAGGGAGAACTCACTCTGCCGTCTGTCAGCCCTCTGTCTGCTGTCTTGGAAGGTCTAGGAGCCAGTCAGGCCCAGGGCTTCCTGGAGCCACCACACCCTGGCCTGTGACAGCCTCAGCCGCAGAAGGGCACTCAGCTGGGGTGAAAGGCTTGCCTCTCTTCCTCTCTTGGCCTTTGGTAGAAGAATCTGTGCGCTGGGCACAGCCCAGGCCTCTCCGGGGCCCATTTCTCCCCATACAATGAGGAGACCCCGCTCAGTTCTCCTCTGGTCTGAGGCTGGCTCTATGGACGAGAAGAGAAGAGCCTTCGGGGCTCCCTGGAGCAAAGTGGACGCCAAGAGGAGACCGCAGCAGCGTACTTCCTGTGGACGCCATGGTGGGAGGGGGAGCGGGGGGGAGTGCACAGGGCTGGACGTCTGTGCTCCAGTCTGCTGTGGGTTGTGGTGGGTGTGTGGGTGTTACCAGTCTCTACTGAGCCCTGCGTTCCTCCTCTACCCATCATTCCAGAGCCTGTTGGAGGGAGACCTGAGGTCTGGTGGGTGGGCACCCTAGTGGGGCATTTCTGGGAGGGCTCCTCCGTGCACCTGGGCTTCCCTACACACAGACTCATGTCTGTGTTCCAGGCCTGGCGCCTTCTCGCTGAGCACCCCTGGACTTAGACCTGCCCATGGCCCTTGCAGGCGCTCTACCCTGGTCAAGTGTGGCCAGCCCCTCTCATACCCCTGGGTGAATTAGTTGCTCTTCCAGCCCCTCACCCTCCTGCTGCCAAATCCCTCAGCGGACCCCACTAGCTGTAGGAGAAAATCCAAACCCTCTCAGCGTGGCAGGTAGGATCTGTGAGTCTGGCTCTGGAAGGCCCATCCATCACCACAGTGCAGGTGCCCTGGAACCCTCCCCAAGCCTCCAGAGCCACATGCCCCACCAGCTCCATCTCACAGGCTCCCTCTCCTCATTCATCTGCACCCGGGCCATATCGAGACAGTGCCGTCCACGCGGCAGGAGCTATGTTCATGTGTGAAGACAGACTAAGGTCTGAGAGAATGCTGTACCCACACCGACAGGAATCTGAGAAGGGGCAATTTGACTTTCTGCCTTTTTTCTTTGTTAGACTGTGAGAATATTCTAATATCACTCCCTTAAAAGAAAGCCCACTTTACCATCAAAACCCAACTCACTGCCATCCAGTCAAGTTCAATCGTCGTGACCCAGGAGGAGGGGGGAGACTGCTGCTGTGAGTTTCCCACTGACCCTCCTTCCGGGGCAGAGCGCCTCGTCTTTCTCCCGCAGACAGGCTGGTGGTTTCAAACCGCAGCGCGTGCCTGAGCAGCCCAACACATAACCACCAGGGGTCTCTCACTGAGACCCTGGAGTCTTAGCAACACAGGCGCTTAAACTGCGGCGTTCATGCAACCGTTCAGAGAGCACGTATTAGACACACACACAAAGAAAAGGCGAGGGAACCACAAAGGACTAAAATCAATGAACACAACACAGCAGCAGGCGGTAGTCGTGGAAGAAGGGTTTGGACACATAAAGAGCAGAATGACAGAAGTATGTTCTTAGCCGTGATTACAGTCAGTGTAAATGGATTCGATGCTCCCATCAAAAGGCAGGGAATGCCAGAAGGAATTTTAAAAACCACAGAACAACTATATGCTGTTTTCAAGAGCCACACCTTAAACCACCAGGGACACAAGTAAGTTGAAAGTGAAAGTATGGGAAAATATGGCATGCCAAGTAGTAACAAAAACAGAGCTGGGTAGTGGCCACCAATACCAAACAAAGTAGCCTTGAGAACGAAATCTGTCAGAAGAGATGAAAACAGCTCATCGACAGCAATTAACCAAGCAGATTTACCAATCATATATAGATCAACACCGGGGTGCTTAAATAAACAAGAACAGCACCAACAGAATTTCACATTCGGACACTGCGAAGCACTACTTGCCATCGGCAGAGCATGCAGAAGGAGAGAGAGTACCTAAGCCTCACTGACACCACAGACAAACTAGACTGTGCAGAGCTACATCAACTCCCCACAGCACACAATCCACCCTCGGGGACAAGGGGCATGCTTCAGGACGGCGCATATTTTAGGCCACAAAGCAAGTCTTCCTCAATTTTAAAAGACTGAAAGCATTCAGAGCATTTTCTCTGACCACAGAGAATGAAGCGAGGCAATGCCGACAGGAAACAACAAAACCACACAACACACAAACAGAAGTTAAACAACACACTACTAAGCGACCAATGGGTCAAGAAAGAAATCAAAGAGAAATCACAAAATTCTTACAGTCAAGTGAACATGAAACCCAACGCATGAAGCCTCTGGGATGCGCAGAGGGTGTACTCGGGAAAACTTACCGCAGTGAAGGCCTGCATGAGAAAAGAGAAAGAGCTCGAATTACCAGGCCAACTCAGCAACTCCAGGTACTATAAAGAGACGCGCAAACCACACAGTAACAACGATCAGAGCATACACCGATACAATCACAAGCAGAAAAACAACAGCATCAGTAAGACCAGACAGACGAGTCTTTGAAAAGGTAAATCTAATTACAAATGTTAGCTAGACTGACAGCAACAGAGAAAAGACGCAAATAACCATAATAAAAATGCTCACAAGTGGTGACATTACACCTGACCGAATAAAGATAATTATGACAGAATCGTAACAAGTGAAGAAAGCATATCAGTGATAAAAAAAAAAAAAATCTCCCACCCCACAAAAAAAAGGAATCCTGGACCAGAGAGCTTCCCTGTGGCATGCTACCAAACATTCAGAGACTAATTGACACCAATACTGTTTAAATCTTCCAAAAGATAGGAAAGGAAGGAATGCTCTCTAATTAATTCTAAGAATCAAAAACAATCCTGATATCCAAACCAGACAAAGACATCACACACAAAAAGAAAACTATAGGCCAATATCTGTTATGAATATAGATGCAAAAATCCTCCACAAAATATCAGTGAACAGAAGCCATTAACATGTTAAAAGAGGCATACACCATGACCAAATGGGATTTACTCCGGGAACACAGGGATGGCTCAGTGTTGGAAAACCAATCAATGTAAGACAGCACAGCAACAGAACAAAGGAGAGACACGTGATCATCTCCATGGACACAGAACAAGCATGTGATAAAAACCAACATCTTGTCTTGCTGAGAGCCCTAAAGATTAGAAGAGAAGGAAAATTCCTCAACCCAAGTCAGGGCATACAAGAGGGCTTCAAGAAGTTTGTGGAAACATTTCATTAGCTCATAATTCCATTTTTCTATGAACTTTCTGAATTCCTTTCATTGACCAAAAAAAACCCCCTAAAAAAACCCCAACATCATACTTAGCAGAGAAAGACTGAGCGGGTTCCCCTTGAAATCAGGAACGCGGTGCTGCTCATCACTTGTATCCAGTACTGGATTTGGGAGTGTCCACCCAGGAAAGAAGTCCCAACAAAACAGACCTACCGTACAGGTGTCCAGATACTAAGAGGTAAAATGATCTTTATATGTGGATGAAGAGGAAAATCACAGCGTCCCCAAGAACGTTCTAGAGCTCATGGAGGAATTCAGCAAAGTCACAGGGTACACAGTCAGCACACAGTGTCAGCTGGGGTTTTATACATTGAAAAATTGGGGTGGAAAGGGGGAACCGACTACAAGGATCTACATATAACCTCCTCCCTGGGGGATGGACAACAGAAAAGTGGGTGAAGGGAGATGTCAGTGTAAGATATGACAAAATAA